AACCCCTACAACATATCCATGGAAAACAACATGGAAAACCCCTACAACATATCCATGGAAAACAACATGGAAAACCCCTACAACATATCCATGGACAAGACGTCCAATACCTACACCACAAACAAGGCCGACACCTCCCCCACCATGTATATGTCGTGATGGTCAGATCGGAGTGTTCTCAAGTCATAGAGGAGTGTGCGACTGTTTACCGTAAGTAAGCGACATTAGTTTGTTTCTTGCACGAGGCCGTTGCCAACTGTATAACCGGAACCCTTTTTTCCAGGAACCATATTTTTATTTGAATGTAATAAAGGTGAGGGTTGGATCAGAAACGGGGAGTTCCATTTTCTCTTAAACGGAAGACCACTTTCCTTAAAACCTGACCACGATCAAGGTTTGGGCCTGTACTAATTGGCTAGGCTGTCATGGTAAACCAGCCTCCTTCTGCTGCTGTTGAATTCGTTATGTTACGTTTATTTTTGGTAAAGTTAATTAGGAATAGGAATAATTAATGCTGGCTACGGTATAGTCGTAGAATAGCTGGCTAGTGGTAAAATAGTAATTAAATAAGTGTAGTTTTGAAGCAGGAGAAAGAGAAGAAGAAGGAAAAGAAGATTTTTGTATGAGTCTATAGCGGGAGATCTATATTATATGTATAAATATATATACAATTGATTGCAAAAAGGTTGTAGTATACATTTATATATATATCTAATGAGATGTATATATAAATAAATATATATATATATCATACACAGCCATTTGCAAAAATTATGGCCGCTTCCAATGTATATACAAGTATATCAAAAGTATATCAAAAATGATGGTATATCATCCCTGATATTTTTTTCGAGTTGCATCTATCGCTAGGGCTTTCTGAAAATAATATCAAGAACGATATCCCGCCGTGTCTGATATACTTTTGATATACTTGCATAAATATTTGAAACGGCCATAAATTTTGCAAATGGCTGTGTAAGTAATATATACAGTGTGAGTGGCCGTGTTGTATCAGACATACAACCACGAGGCGTAGCCGAGTGATTGTATATCTGATACAACACGGACACGAATACTGTATATGACTTATCAAACGTCTAGGTTAGCTCCTTTGTGTTTCACTAAAATTTTCAAAATTAAAGTGAATTTGGCCAAGAAAATCCAACTTAAAGTTTATGCAAATGAACACAGTTTTGTATCAGATTTACAACACTCTTCACGGTCGTGATTTCTGTTGTGTTTTACTCATGAAGTATTAATGAGTTTGATATATATATATATATTTGAATATAATATAAACAACACCAACCTGTACGCGTGCACAAATACCAACGGTACACTAAAACACGTGGTCACAGATGGAAACGTCTGCAAAAATGATTCAGAAATTCTAAGTCAGTTCAAGTGTTATTTAAGAATCCTGACTTCAATTATAGTATTTTTAACCTTTTTCCCTATTATGTGTAATCAAGGAAATGCAAGGGTGGACAATCACCTGTAAAAGTCAATGGCTTATATAAGTGTCCGTACTATCCTCCGTGTGGCAGAAGTCCAAATTGTGTAATTGGTAGAAAGGGACGTAGCTGTTCGCAGCCCGACGTTTATCCTTGCACAAGTGAGTAATTTTTCATTCAAATGCTTTTTTATCCGTTTTCGTTTTGTGCTTTGACTGTTCTTGCTATTTATTAAACAAACCAAGTGACAAGGAAGCGAACCATGTTGACAAATGTAACGTTACTGCGCATCAGCAGACTATTACATGCAGAAAAACGTTTTTGTATCGTAATGCGCATGAGCAGAATATTATTTGTAGGCAGTTATTTGCAGTTATCTCGACCAATCAAAATGACGAAAAAATAATAATTTGAATGATAAAATTATTTACTGTTCATTTTGATTTACTCGTTTCTCCATCTTATGTACACTACTCCCAACATTCATTCTGTACCTACTAATATGTGCCCACTCCCTTTTTGGAAGAAAATTAAACGTCAACTTTTCATGATGAATAATTCAATGTCCTATTCATTTTATCAGGTGCATGCTCCGGTAACGGCCGTACGGTCTCTAACAAATGCCAGACAGAGTGTAGATGTTTTAGAGGTTGGACAGGTCGCTGCTGTGAAATTAGACGACCCACAGGAGGTTTTGGCGATCCTCATCTAGAGACTTTAGATGGTAACACAATATATCGATAGATTATAAGAAGTAATGGAAGTGTTATTTGAAAATTAACACGTATGCCATTAGCAAGGAAGATGAGAAAAAAATAAGAAAAATCGAAGAGTGTTTTAGAATATCTTTTGTCATTGGTACAAGTTACAGCGCGACGTGCAAAAATGCACGGGCTTTCATAAGACAAACTGACGCATTTCGATAGGAATCTGGCTGGTTTTGCCATATAATTTTCATAGAATTGTTGTAAAAGTTAGTTTGGCAGCAAAAGGCCAGTGCAAAAAGGCCATGTTTTAGGGAACATGGTTCCAAAATGCGTTGCAATGCCAACATGACCCAGTCTTTTAGTCAATTTCGTAATGCCTAATTAAGTATCTTATTTTTTAAACTTTTTTGTAGGAGTTGAGTTTGATTACTTTGGTATTGGTGAGTTCTGGGGATGTCGTAGTATTCCAAATTCATTTGGAATCCAGTTCCGCTTCTTTGCCCACAAGGGGACGTCTCTGATAGGAGGAATTGCTTTAAAAGTTGGCAGCAGCGTTGTTAGCATCATGTCACAAATAACATTAGATCCAACAGATATGCCACATCTAAGGTAACTTCGAAAGAAAACTACTGAACTAAAATCCATTTAAATTCTACTCCTCATTCTAAACGTAACTGCGATTTGCTGTTTTTTGGCTTTAGGATTGATGGTGCGTTGGTGAATCTAACGACAGCTTTGGGGAAACAACTATCAATCTACAATAAAACCGCTTTTCTTAAAATCCAGAAACAATCTGATGAAAAAAATGAGGGCGAAGTAGTGTTCTTTTCCCTTGAGTACAAGACAGGTATGCTTTTTTTGCTTGTCATTAGTCCATCCGCCTCGTTGTTGGGGAGTCGGGATGGCGTAGTAGTAGTAGTAGCAGTAGCAGTAGCAGTAGCAGTAGCAGCAGCAGCAGCAGAGGCAGCAGCAGCAGCAGTAGTAGCAGTAGCAGCAGCAGCAGCAGCAGTAGCAGCTCGCCTTTTTCCTCGATTCCCTGTTGCCCCATGCTGAAGTGTTTGGTTCTCTTCTTGAATCGAAAGGTTTTTTCCGGCACTCTGGAATTTCCTTCCTCCTACTAAACTAAAGACTTCTTGAAGTTGGGTTTTCCATGCATTGTTCASGAATTTCATAAACCTTGACATATTTTCGATCTGTTTCTATAGGTGTTACTGTAACGATTTATGTGCGGCACAGTGATACAATGGGAAGACAGTTCCTTAATGTTCTATATACACTCACAGCGGATTTCAAAGGTCGCACGCAGGGAATCTGTGGTTTAATGGACAACAATCCTGCGAATGACTTGACTGGACCAAATGGAGAACTTTACACAGATCCAGTTAAATTTGCAGATTCTTGTAAGTAGACTGAGATGGTTATTGACTAATACATTGTTTACATTTAAACAACGCTTAGTTTTCAGTTTCTGCAGCAAATTTGTTGTGATTTCTTGTCTAAAAGGACTGACGGCAGTAATGTTTAGCATGTGTGCATTTGTGGTGCTGGGAAAGGGGGATCTGAGTTACAGAGAGACAGAGAGTGCACTGTACAGCACTAGATGAAAGGTTTCTTCGATTGTTGTCGTTATTGGTTCAGTGTTATTCAGGGGGTTGTAGCACGATTCCACTAATCTCGTTCAAGAACGCAAAAGATATGCTTACAAATTTGCAGTTTGTAGCTGTTTAAGCTTCGTACCCCCGGCCATTCGTCATTTGGCCTTTTTTTGTGCCAAAACTAAACCAGAAACAATTATATTACAGGGCGTATTTTAGCTACCAACAATCAATCAGGTTTATACGACTCGTGGTCCTGGAACTCTTCCAATTTTCATGCTGATGACGTAATGGACTCGACATACACAGATCCAAGCCATGTTCCTATGTATGGACTATCAAATGTATCCAGTGACTTGTTAAAGGTTTGTGATTTACATGAATATATACTTGTTTTTTTTTTTATAACAATGATACTATAGATTCTGACAGCCTTTTTCCTATTGAAAAGAAATCAAGACAGACCTGCTTGGCTCGTAAATTACCAGATAATCTTTTGAAGAGCTGTATCTACGATGTTGCTGTGACAAATGACACGTCTTTTGCCATGCAAGAAGTTCTCCTGAC